TATATAGAGATACATAGATATAGGGTAGACAGATGTAGATAGATAGATATAGATAGAGATATTTAGATAGAGATAGACATACAGATAGAGATATAGAGATATATATATATAGCTAGATAGCTAGAGATAGATATAGACAGACAGACAGACGGACAGATACCTAGCATCTGCATTTGCAGGACATACTAATCTCTATTTTCATCTCAGTTAATGGGTATTCAGGGGAAGTATGTTACTGTAAAGGAACCCATCCACTGGATGACATACAGCCCTGAAGCCTGACTAGCCTGCGACCTTGTCCAGCAGAACTTTTCTCAGGTTCGTGTCCCTAAAAACACAAAAAGCTGTAAAACAATAAGCAAGAGCATCAGTCCTTGCAGTTGTGTTCAGCCCACGTGTAATGGGAGCTTACCTAGTTTACACACCCCGCAGGGGCCCTCTTATGCTGAAACCTGGCATCTTCTGGTCATTCTTATGAAGTTCAGAGCTGGAAAAGAAGCACACGAAAACGCACAGGTTAGAACAATGATTCTCAACTTCAGCCAGTGTAAGATGAGTAGACTTCAAGTCCCAGAAGTCTCCAGTCGGCCTAGGACAATGGTGGCTAGCCTTTGGGGGGTACTTTTGCCAAAAATTGTTCACGTGCTTGCACGCTCATGCGCCAGCAACCCAAAAGGCAATGCGCTCCACCTCCTACGCATGCGTGCGCAATCCCCACCCCCCCACCTGCACTGCACCTCACAGCTGATTTTCAGCCAGTTTGGAGCCTTTTTCGGCCTCCCAGAGGCTTGAGGAAGGCTTCTGCAGGCCGAAAACTAGCTCCATTTCATCACTTCTGGTATTTTCAGAAAAACAGGAAGTGACGAAACGGGGCTAGTTTTCGGCCTGCAGAAGCCTTCCTCAAGCCTTTGGAAGGCCGAAAAAGGCCTCAAACCGGCCGAAAATCACTTGTGAGGCAAGCGCGTGTGTAGTGAGGTAAGTCTGCTTGCAACTCATGTGCCGGCATAAATGGCTCTGTGTGCCACCTGTGGCATGCGTGCCGTAGGTTTGCCATCACAGGCCTAGGAAACGCTGCATTAAGAGGAAAAACCCCGCACGCACGTAAGAACACCTATTAAGGAAAAGATCCAAACGGACAAAGAGAGGCACCAATGGGGAAACCTGCAATTCAAACAGGTGACCCACTGACCGAGGTTACCTAGTTTGGTAATGAAATACCTGCAAGAAAAACCACCAAGCTCAGAGAGCATCAAGGACCCCACAGATCTCCCGCACTATTTATAAAACAACAGTCCAAACATCGCCTGATTCAACAGCTTTTCAGGCCACGGTGGGACATCCATGTTCTGACCTAGACTGTAAATTACGTTCATTCACAGCCTGCAAGGCTTCACAAACAGTCTTTCAGGGGAATGTTTATAAACACCCACCTTATCGCACTTGGAATGCGGCCAGAGAACTAATTGCCAAATGCAGAGCAAGATCAAACTTGACAGAGAGTCAAACAGAACTTTTCAAAGCTTGAACCGACCAGACAAACTAATTGCTTCCTGCAAAACCTCACATCCCGTTCGCTCCTCTTTTATGTCCTATGGGAGGGGCCAATCATCTCCAAGGTGCGGGCTTATAGTCCTGAGTCAACCCTGCTTTCTCAATTGTTCTTGTCTTCTGGTAGCTCTGTGCATGTGCAGGCTGGGAACAGGTTCCAGAAACTCCCCTGCCTCACTGCTGTCTGAGTCTGAAGGCAGCTGATGACTGCCAGCCTGCCCTGGCCCCACCTCTGCCTCTGATGCAGAGCCCTCATCATAGCCTTCCTCAGCCTCCACGACTAGCCCAGGTTCCTCCTCAACCTCCTCACGACTGTCCAACACTTATTGTCCTATACCAGGGGTGTCAAACTCAAGGCCTGGGGGCTGGATCCAGCCTGCAGAGTTCTTAGATCTGGCCTGGTGGGACACCCTGGAAGCAGTGAAGGACTGGCCCGCAGTGCAAGCAAAAACAGAGCTCAGGCCCTCCTGAGCTCCATTATTTGTGGCAGAGGGTTGGAGGAGGCTAGTACAGCCAAAAACGGAGCCCGGGAGCCCATTTTTGCTGGCAGCCACCACAGGCGCCCCCGACATGAGCGATACCGAGCTGGTCATGCCCATCGGGGCCCACCCGAGGTCAAACATTACCCTGATGTGGCCCTCCATGAAATTTGAGTTTGACACCCCTGTCCTATACGTTATCGCTTTTAAGATTAGGCTTTGCTCCGACTAACACAGAGTTAGTCAAATTGGGATGGATTATGCATATAAACAAAAGGGACGCGCAGTGGCTCAGTAACTAAGACGCTGAGCTTGTGGATCAGAAAGGTCAGCAGTTCGGCGGTTTGAATTCCTAGCGCTGCGTAACGGAGTGAGCTCCCGTTGCTTGTCCCAGCTTCTGCCAACCTAGTTCAAAAGCATGTAAAAAATGTAGGTAGAAAAATAGGCACCACCTTTGGTGGGAAGGTAACAGCATTCTGTGCACCTTCGGCGTTTAGTTATGCTGGCCACATGACCACAGAGACGTCTTTGGACAGCACCGGCTCTTCGGCTTTGTAATGGAGATGAGCACTGGCGCCCCCTAGAGCTGGAAATGACTAGCACTTATGCGCGGGGGGAACCTTTACCTTATGCATATAAACAAATAAATAAAGGGGGTAGCAATAATGTATACCAGATATTCCTGGACTTACAACATCAACTACGCTCAAAATTTCTGTGGCTAAGCCATGGCAGTTGTTAAGTGAGCTCTGTCTCACTTTACCTTCCTTGCCCCAGCTGTTAAGTGAACCACCGCAGTTGCTAAATAACACAACTGTTGCGTGAATTTGGCTTCCCCGTTGACTTTGCTGTCAGAAGGTGTTCATACAACCCTGGGAAAAAGAGTGACCGTCATAAAAACAGGCCAGCTGCTAAGTCTCTGAATTTTGATCACATGACCTTGGGGATGGTGCAATGGTTGAAAGTGTGGAAAAAAGTTATAAGTCGCTTTTTTCAGTGCCGTTGTAACTTTGAAAGGTCACTAAATGAACTGTTGTAAGTTGAGGACTACCTGTAATATCCAGAGTCAAAATAAGAGTAGGTGTTGTGGTTAGCCGGCAGCAAATGTGGACGGCTGAGGAGAGCGAAGATTCAGATGAGGGGCCAGGACCATTAGGGAGTGGACTGCTGCCTTCAGAGATTGGGGGGGCTGGCAGCAGTGATGAGGAGGTTCCCGAGGAGCCTGTGCCAAGTACGTGCAGGATTGCTAGGAGGAAAAAGCAGCTACAATAGCACGGGCGACTCGGGAGTAAGGCTGCAAGGTATTGGCCCCTCCTTCAAGAAGATAAAAGCCAGCTGTGAAACGAACGTACTTTGCAGAAGGCAAAGACGTTTTGAAACTCCAGCCTCGTGGACATTCCAGTATCCTGAGTTTGTATTTGAAGATTCTTATTTTGCAAATTATTTCTTGTCTGTTATTTTTTGGCAAGTCTCGCTCAGTTTGGCAAGACTTGTGCTTATCCCAGCTAATTATTTTGTAAAAGCAGTACAAGGTTTCTGTTCTTTTTGAATTGTGTTTGATTTTTTGGAAAAGGGCCTGGGTCAGAACAGTAGGGACACCCTTAGGGCTTGCAAAATACCCCCACTTTAAATCTCCAGCACACAAACAGTTGAGATGTCAACACATATTTGTGTATCAGGAAGCAGCAATCAGAAAATAAAACAAGCACATTATGCCTGAACAATAAACAGAAAGGCCCACTACGGATAATCCTCAACTTACAACCATTCATTTAGTGAACAAAATTACAACAGCAGTGGGGAAAAAATGTAACTTAAGTTCATCCTCAAACTTACAACCGTTATAGTACTCCCACAGTGACGGGATCAAAATCCGAGCACTTGGCAACCAGCATCATAACCAGCAGTATCCATTGTGGATCACCATTTGAGATCTTCCCAGCCGCCTTTTAAACCAGCAACATCAATGGGAGAAGTGGATTTGCTTAATGACTGCATGACTCAATTAAACACTGCATCAATTTGCTTAACAACCATGGCCCAAAAAAGTCACAAAATCAGACTCATAACCTCCCTTGCTTAACAATGCATATTGTGGTCCCAGTTGCAGTGACAAGTTGAATTCTACCCGTCTTGGAGAAAAGGCACAGGTGAGTTATTTAAAGAAGCATTCAGGAAACCGTCTGCAAGCGTCGTCTGCAAGCATAGGTTTGGATTTGTTTTTTGCTTCCATAAAATGCAAATTATTTGTTTAAAAAAACCAGGCCACCGCAGAATACTTCTGAAACCTGTTTAGGAATGTTGCTCCCTTGTGCTGTGCATGTGAGACAGACCATTGTGATGTGTTCTCCTCGCCATTAGAAAGCAGGTGGCTCATTTAGTAATTTTTTAATTACCATCCCTGGAGAGTAAGCAGCTTAGAGTGCCATGCAACAGGAGTGAATTATTGGGAAAAATGGGATTGTGAACCGTTTCAAAACTGATTTGCCCATCCTTACTATTTACACTCCTCTGAGGTGCATTTTAATAAATTGTTGGAAAAATTAAAATTCTGATTTGCCCATCCTTACCATTTACACTCCTTTTTTTAGTAAATTGTTGGAAGAAATTAGATTCTGAGCCACCTCAGAACTGATTTGTTCATCCTTGCAACCCCTTTGTTCAACCGGGGCGGGATTTCAACTTCCAGATCAAATCATAGCTTGGCGAGGTGGGGGGAAACCAAGTTGACAATGGCATCCCACCACAACCTGCTTTGGGGCAAAACCTCCCTGAGTTCCCCTGGGATCCGCCCCAAATGAATCCACTTGAGCTTTACCTCTAAGCAGGCGAGACTTCGGAACAGGTTAACCCGCTAGTGAAAATTCTGCTCTGGAGTAACTGTTGCTGGTTGAGAAAAGCCCTCCAAACGGGCTCAAGGAGGATTCAGCCTTCCATCCTTGGCCAGGTCAGGGGGATAAAATGAGGATCCAGATTGTGTGGGAGGGCAGAGTCTATAAACAGCTTAGAGAGGGGCTTGTAAAAGCCCTGTGAACCTGTAAACTGTCTATGGAGATTCTCAGTTGTCCCAAAGGTGCTTTTTTTTTCCAGAGGCACTTGGACTTTGTGGTTTTTCTTTGAAGATGTTTCGCTTCTCATCCATGGATCGATGAGAAGTGAAACGTCTTCAAAGAAAAAACCAGAAAGTCCAGGTGCCTCTTGAAGAAGCATCTTTACCACACTGTGAATATAACTCTTATTGCTAGTGCTAGTGGGGGGGGGGGGGGGGAGAGTGGATCGGAGCTATAGAAGATCCACCGATCTACAATACAGTCGATCGGAGAGGGGGATTTCCAAAGGGGTTTACCCAGAACAACCAGCAAATCCCCCCTGGCTGAAAAAAAAAAAAATACACCGCCGAGAGCTTAAGCACCTTAATCCCAGACACAATGGTCTCTCAACTCCGCCATCCCTCACAACCACAGCTTCCTTGTCAAAAAAAAAATAAAATAAAATAAAAAGCAACTCTTCGGAATCGGCTTGTCCCTCCTCCGTTTCTCAAGCCGCGTGTCCGATCGAAGGGGGAGAGAAATAAAAGTCGATCCGGACCCCCTAAACCCGAGTTTTATCCGACCTTTCCAAAACTCCAAAAACTCTGCCTCCTTCCTCCGTCGTTTTGTTTTTTGTTTTGCCCCGCGGGGCTCCCTTGGAGCGCCGATTTGCAGAGCTTCCCAAACCCGCGAGGAAATCCAAAAGATCCCGCAAAGCTTCTTGCTCCCCCCGACTCTTCTCTCCTCACCCCCCCCAACCCCACCTCCACGGCGTGGAGAAAGTCGGATCGAGCGGCGGCGCAAGGCGATTTCGTGCCGGGTCCAATGCTTAAACCAGGATCCCCCGGCCGCTTCCTTTCTTACGGGAGTTGATTTCTCCACCACCGCTACCCCCCCTCCCCACCCCGCCTCCCCTCCCAACGCACAAAAGGTCCAGGCGCGATCCGGGTGCGAGGCGCTCTCTCCGGCTTCCAGGAGATCGGAGCCGTGGCGGGCGGGGGGGAGGAGGGAAGCCAAGGAAACAAGGAGAGAAAGGAAAACTGGAGTGGGGCTGGGGGTGCAAGGGAGGGGGATCCCTGCCTCCCCGCCTTGTCCTTGGCTCAGCCATTGTCCTGCGGGGAGAGAGAGGGTGAGGCCATGCTGGGTTGGGGAGCCGCCGCGCAAAAAACCTCCTTTGGCTACCCGCGATCGGAGCCTCGGAAGCGGGATAAGAGGGTGGGGTGGGGGGAGGAGGGAAAGAAGCAGCCCGGTTCAGTTTACTCCGGATCCGTTTCTCCCGCCTCTGCTACTTTTATGATAGATATATATATATATTTTGCAAGCGAGCGGGGGAAGTTCCCTTCTGTTGCAAACACCTCCCGCCCTCCCCGCTCGCTCGCTGGCTTACCGACGCCGTGCATCCTCCGGCACATTTCTTCCTCTCACTCGATCCTCCCTCCCCCCACAAAAGGGAAGGAATTAAAAAAAAGAAAGAAAGAAAACAACTCGGATCCAGCCGGGGCTCGCCAAGGGCTCGCTCCCCTCCTCCCCTCCGAAAAAGAGGGGCCTGGGTTTCTCCAAGCCTCTCCGAGCTCAAGTTTCTCGTCCTCTCTGGGAAAACGGCGGCCCTCTATCGGTTTAACCCGTCCGGCACCTCGGCAAGGAAAAGGATCCGTTTCCCCGCGGCTTCTGACAAAAAAATAAAATAAAAGGAAAGGAAACGACCGGGGATCTCGTCCGGTTCCCCGCAATTAGAAGCCCCGGGGTATTTGGGAGCGCGCGGCTTGGAACCGGTGCGTAAAAGCGCAGGCCGCGGAGCGCGCGTTTTGGCGCGGGGATTTGAAAAGGGTTTGTTGTTGTTTTTTTTCCCCCCGAAACCTCCCGGCTTTCAAACCGAAACAAACCCAAAACACACACACACAAAGAGAGATCCAGAAAGGGGCGCAGGAGAGGGTTAACCGGAGGTGGGCAGGATTGAGGTATTTCTTGGGGTGGTGGGGGGGAGAGAGAGAGAGAGAGAGAGAGAGAGGTGGAGGCGGCGGAAGGCGAAGGGTTGAAGGAGGGGTTTCCAAGCCAGACAAAGCTTCCCATTGAAACAACCAAGTCCGCCTGTAGCAGACTTTTTGCGTGTGTGTGAGAGTGAGAGAGATCGACGCGGAAGGAAGGACACACACACACACACACACACACACGCACGCACACACACCCCGAGATCGCGTACACACGAACAAAATAATAATAATAATCAGGCCAGGGGTTGCGGCGGAGCCCCCGGTTACCTGCTTTGCGGGGTTCTGAGAACAAAGAATCCGGTGGCGGTTGGGGATCGTGGGGGCGGAGAGACGCGCTTCCCAGCTTTCAGGATGGCAAAGCCGAGGGAAGGTACTGACTGGGTCAGTGTTAAAAATACACACACATGCACCTGTCTGTCTATCCATCCGTCCATCCATCCATCCATCTATCTATCATTATCATCTATTTATCATTTATCATCTATCTATATCTATCATCTACAATTATCATCTATCATTTATCTATCTATCTCATCTAATTATCCACCCATCCATCTATCCATCATTTCATCTATCATTTATCATCTATCTATATCTTATCTAATCCATCTATCCATCTGTTCCAACCATCTATCTATCCATCTATTAATCCATATTCCATCCATCTATCATCATTTATCTATCTCAACTATTCATCCATCTACCCATCTATCATCCATCTGTCATCATTTATCTACCTAATCTGTCCATCCATCTATGATCCATCTATCTATCATCTATTTATCATTTAT